ATACTTCAAACCCCGGCTCGATAACCCATCCTCCTCATATTCATCTGATCTCAAAACTCTCTCTATACTTTTCCCTGTTGCTCTCGACCAGTTCTTATCATAACAGCCCTTGTACGGCGCGTGAAGGAGTCCTTCCCGAGCCCTCACCACAACAACTCCCCGACACTAACAACCTCCTGTCCCTGGTACAGCCTGCTTCAAGTCCACTCTTTCTCTCTACACAATCGCTTTTTTCCCTTCTTCCCCTAGTTCTTCACCCGCTCCAAACTACTTCTACTTTTGCCATTGGCATGTTTTCCAACACTCACAAAGAGCCTTCTTGTTCCCCATTCAGACTACCACTCCACCAGTGCTGACGACAGCCTCTACTTCAACTTCAATGACGTTGGTTGGCACGCCACGGCCCTCATGACCCTGCTCCAAACTGTTATCCCGCCCTCTTTTACCACTGCCGAGAGTCCTAGCAGACCCTCAGCTTTACCTCATTCAATTTGAATGACCATTAATGCATGAGCACAGTGATATCTATCTCACTGGTGAGAGAGAGTACAGCACTTCAGCATGCATTGCTAATTTGCTCAATAAATTTGGATGCAAGTATTTCACTGAATACCTGGGAGAGAGGGCCTGTTTAATGATTAACGCAGATTACATGCACGTTTTTGCTCTCATGTTTCCTGGTTGGATCACTAGGTTTGGATTCGCATGTATCGTGGTTCAAGAAAAAATGCCAAACATATGATGAGAAACATATTTCAAACACTAGCCAATTTCACATTTGAATGAAAGTGGATATCTTCTGAAAGTTGTCAAGGAAATAGTCCTTAGACAAGAGAAATAGAAGCTGACAAAACCTGTAAAATTCCTTGAAGTACTTTTTAAAGTGTGAATATCTTCTGAAAGAAATAAGGAATGTTTCAAATGTCTGATTCTTCTTGCACGTACGGTACATCAAGAAATTTAGAGTGTAAAGTTTATTATCAAATATAGTTGAGATGGTGAGGAATAAAGAGAGAGAGAGAGAGTGAGAGAGAAAGAGAGAGAGAGAGAGAGAGAGAGAGAAAGAGAGAGAGAGAGAGAGAGAGAGAGAGGGAGAGAGAGGGAGAGGGAGAGGCGGGGAGGGGGGGGGGATAGAGAGATTTGTGTAAGAGAAGCTGAAAAAAGGTGAGAGAGGAGGGGGGAAGGAGATAACCAACATTAAGTGATCCTCTTATGCCGCAAGCCCGCAAGAGCATTAATTCATATCTTTTCACACACAGTTCACACCCTTCTGGTTCTCAAAAGATGATATGAAAGAGCAATTACAATCAATCATGATGCATATTCAACGAAAATGTAAATATGTGGTAATGATCGGCAATCAATCGGGTAGCTAAATCAGCTGTAATGTGGGAAAGGCATGAAAGGGGACATGGATGAGGGAGTTCTAGCAAGGATTCCATCTGGTTTTATCCAGTTTGCCTGAAAACTAAAGCCCCCCCCCCCCTAAATAAGTTGGAAAAGAGAACGGGCCTGATGGGAAAAGAGAAATGAGATAGCAAGATGTTAACAACCCTTTCTCTTTATGGCTTACAAAAGATGTAATATCTTTGTACAGCATGGTTGGTAAAGCTTTTTAGTATAGAGGGCCTGATGGGGAAAAAGGAAGCGTTAACACACCAAGTTAATAAACCATCCCTTGCAAAAAAAGTGTAAAATTTCTGTATTTAAACTCCAAATGATAAAATAAATGGGTAAATTTACTGTATTGATATCAATACTAACACTGGTGTCACTGACATCCCAGAGGTGTGAGCTTCCTTATTTGAAACCTGAAGGGGTATCATTTGAAATTTCCCAATATTTTTCTGTTTACATTTGTACATATATGAGAAATATTTCCTGGACAGATCTTCAATGAGACAGACAATACAAAACATCCCGTTCTGGGAGGGGGGGGGGGGGGGGGGGTCTGTCTTTGAAGTTGACTACTTTGTATGATGCAAGGACTTGCCACAGGGTTATATGCACTGATTAGAACACAATCTTTGAAGAAGTTGTCTACTCTAGAGCGAAATCAACAAAATATAATATTTTTGGTTCTCTACAATTTGAAACAATCAGTGTACTGGGGTATTTTACTTTTGGCAGTAAAACGTTTTCCATTTATAACACCTCTAGGATGCTTAGAGCAGGGAGGTGGTAGAGAAGGAGTGGAATCAAGCCGTTCTCCTTTGACCCCATGCTAAAAGCCGCAGAAAAGTTTTGCGCTAATCTGCAACTGTTGACCAGGTGGTGAGATAAAAAGAGCCCTTGAAATATCATGATTTACAATTCCTACATCAGAAAAAGGTATCTCAGCAAAGGTTCGCTGTCCCTTTTAATGATTTCTCATCAATTGTTGAATGTGTGATGAGTTGAACACAAACTATTGTAATTTCATACTTTTTTTCCAACTCCAAAAATACAAAAAGCATGCGAAAGCACGCATTAGCAAACTTTAAGTTATCAAAGTTTGTAAATAATGGATTAAATGACAGGACATTAAAACATGCGAAAATAATCAGATTATCCTAAAATATTGAGTTTTTGTCGGGATCTAATTTTTCTTCTACCAACCAACTCTGGCACACAAATTATAAGAAGGGCAGAGTACTAAATTTGAATAATTGTTTGATGCACTATTCCCAATACTATCTCCATATAAAGTTTATAATTTGCACTGAAATTTTGCCAGTAATTTAATAAATGTGAAACTGGTGCCTGGCCTCCGAGATTCCCTGCAATGGAAGAGCGGCTCGGAGCATGGAACTTCAAAGCCAAGTGGAATGTTACGCATCCCATTGTCAGAGACGCCAAGGTAAAAGATCGGCAATGCATGACATTTTCATTTTTCGGCGCGCAAATGCGCGTGCGAGGATATAACACACATATAGGTATGGCGTTTTTTTTTAAATCTAGCGCGCGCCGTGCGTGAGAGCCGTTTTCAAATCCTCCAAATGCGTGACACTTGGTAGCTCTGCATTGTTACGCTTAGAACTCACGCATGCGTTTGAAAAAATTACAAGAGTTTTCACTTCTTCTCTATCACCTCCCTGCTTAGAGCTATAAAATACATGTAAGTTCCGAACAGAATGGGTTGTGTTAATTCAATAGTATGCAATACATTTGTATAATGTGTCACAGAAGATTAACTACAAGAGATAACTGATGGTGCCATGCGTAATTCCAGGTAATAATGATTTGTAAATTTTAAAATACAAAGCCTTTCACATCACTTGCTATGAACTGATGAGTACATGATAACATACTAGGATGAATAGAAGCAGCAACAATTAAAGAAAAATGAGTATAGAGGTATAATCCATTTTTCATCCATTCTTCCCCACCTCTTCAAATCCCATCTGGCATTCAAACACAATACCATGTTCACCATCAATTTCCCTTCTCTATACAATGACAAATCCCTTCTCTTCCTCCTCCTCCATTTCACCGCTGCGATCCCTCTGCCAATGCCCTTGGTGAAGTGGCCCTCTATCTCTGGCACACAAGATATTGATAGATCATACTCCAAACTAACAAGTACCTGCACGTTGTGAGCTAAATCACCTTGGTGGAGCACAATACGGCCGCCAAAGAGGTTTCAACAGCCCTCGTAGAGCAAGACAAGCCACTCTTGAGCGGATGATTTGATACATCACCCCCTACCTATTGTCGCATCGTTACATTACAAATCATCACTAACTTGTTTTTTTCAGAAAAAGGACGGTAGACAGGAATGCGGAGTCTGGTGAAAAGCACAAATCAACAACCAAAAAAACAAGCTGTGATGGGTTTAACAGCGTTCTGCATAATCGCTAAAACAGTTTGGAATGCCAAAGTTTAAAGGTAAAACCAATATTGGAAACGCCCCAATTTCAAAAAATGAAATGGAAGCTCTTATTACCAATCATGTGAAAGAATATGTTTTGAATAATACATGATGATAAAAAATTTGCCGGAAAACCGCCTACTAATTGATATATTTGGTAAATTAGTTTATCTATTGGTGTGTGAGAGATAAAACGCATGTGTCGCACACGTGTGCGCAGTCCCATATACATCTTTCTATGTACAGTGCTTGTAACTTAATGAAGACTGGGCCAAATTTCTTATCATTCTGATGATTCCAGAACCTTGCAGTACATCTATGCTGGATGATCAACCTTTTCTGATCGATTCCACAATGTTTCTTTCATAATGCAATCGCATGACCATAACTGGTCTTCATCTTTAAGATGATTTCAATGTTTAATGCATCATTTTGTTTTTATATTCCAGTAGTATAGGGTCACTCATTACTGGGTTATGAGGTCATCACTGGTAGTTTTGATTGAGAAATGGAATAAAGTTTTAAAACTACCAGTGGAATGAGTTATATACAGAAGGCCTATAGTGAACCAACTGGCAATAATAGCACGTTGACCTTGGATGTTTGCAATGGAGGATGGACAAATCTCCAAACAACAACTTTTTAAATGAGGGTAGATATGACCTCTAATCGCTTTGTTAACATTTTTACCAAGTTGATCACATTGGAGGGTAGTATCTCAATGTGTATTAAAGGTACATGCAATTCTGTGAAACATCACATTAGAGAAACCTCTTACTTTAAAAACATCTGGAGATTATAGTTGCAGGGTAAGTCATAAAACTCATCACTGACTCTGAATAAGAATCACACCAAAGAAACTCTTTAACTGAAAACAAATGTGATACACAAGTATATCTTTTAAGCACAACTAATTCAGGGGTAATATTGAGACAACAACACATGAAAGTATTGAGGGATGACAAAATGAAACTCCCTTAGTAGTGTATGCGAAGAGACAAACAAACTAACAAATTTATTACTTTAAAAAAAAGGGGGGGGGGGGGAAGAGGTAATATGTCTGAAGTAATTTTGTTGTTAAGTTGATAACAATACAGGGTACTTCTGTTATTCATTTTTTTTGCACAATGCATGACAAACATTTTCTTACCTGTTATAAGATTGTCCTCCTTGATTGTATCCTCCTATATAATGAATAGAAAGCGAGAGAGAGAAGAGAGAGAGAGAAGAGAGAGAGAGAAGAGAGAGAGAAGAGAGAGAGAAGAGAGAGAGAGAAGAGAGAGAGAAGAGAGAGAGAGAGAGAGAAGAGAGAGAGAGAGAGAGAAGAGAGAGAGAGAGAGAGAAGAGAGAGAGAGAGAGAGAGAGAAACAAGAGAGAGAGAGAGAGAAACGAGAGAGAGAGAGAGAAAATATGTTTAATTTAAAGAGCTACTATTCACAAACTCATTACTAAATTTTCTAACAAAACATGTGGGTCATTTATGCATGGGCCCTTCAAAGTAAAAAAAAAAGAAAAATGCAAAGGTGTCTCAAATGTGACTCCACCTCAGCTCATTTAATTTATAGTTAGTTAAGTTGCCATTGTCGACTACAAATCTATTCTGTCTTTGAAATGAGGAAGAAATGAATATTCAATCACAATTTAATCAAAGATAATGTACAACAAATAATATATTCACAAAATAAATATTATAAAACACAAAATAATATAATAACATTCACAAAAACCCTCTTGTATTTCCACAAAAAAGAAGAAAGAAAAAAAATCTTTTTCTTGTGGCCTTTCCTCCTTTCACCTACATACAATGTGCATACTTAACATGAATCTTGTGATAAAGCTACTTGCAGGACCAATACCGTAAGTCATAAACTATAATAAATTGATCCCTAGAGGTAACACAGACGGGCGAACGGACGAACAGACAAACCCAAAACATAGTGCATTCAGCGCCACCATTGGTGTTCAGAGGCATAAAACGAAAGTATTCTCAGGAATACAGGTAATAAATTTTCTTTAAAAAAAAAAATTGTTTACTAATACAAAGCAGCAATAACAATGTCATGGAGCATGAAGGCCCCATTTCTTTACCTGTTAGAAAAAATGTCTTTTCTTTTAATGTTTTTTTTTTTTTTTTTTTTTTGGGGGGGGGGGGGGGGGGTGGTTCGATACATGTATCTACTTTATAATACTACATGTATGAGTACCAACAAATATAAATGAAGCAAACTTAATGTTTAACCCCTGTGACTTTATTATCACTGTGGTCTAACCTCACAGATCAGACACTTTTTCCTAAACCCAAAACTAAAGGCCTAATGCTATGACTAATTTGAAGGAAAACCCAACAGAGAGAGAGAGAGAGAGAGAGGGAGAGATCTGGGTGGGGGGGGGGGGGGGGGGGGCTAATGTGGCTTTGCAGACAGCAAACTGTGTGCGTTCAAATACTGGCTGAATACAGTTAAAACCACAACAGAATCCAAGTAAAGAATTGGGGGTCATTACCATTGGTCCAACAACAATGGGCATCTATTATCCATCCTGTCACTCAATCTCATCGTCTATCTTTCTGAACTAGAATCTTTGTAATACCCCATTGGAAGTTATTTGGTTTTCTTCAGTCTCACAGATTTTGAAATTAGTTCTGAATGATTTACTATCATTACGGCAATTCAATAGCACTAGCATAAACACTCTAGCCATTGGTACTCATGAGTACTATAATCAAAATTAAAAGCAGATAGTAAATTAATTACATATATAAATGAAATATAAACTATAAATTCAAATTTGTTGGGTACAGAGTACAGACAAATTACTTCATCTCTTATTCTCTTTCTCACTTTCTCTATTTCTCTCACTGACACCCCTGCCCCCATCTCTCACTCTCTCTCTCCTTCAGACCACCAAGCCCCTACCAGTTCCCTTACACACAAACAAGTCATACAGGCAGTTACCCACCACCACCACTACCAGCACATCCTCCCTCCCTCCCTCCGTGTACCATCATCACCAATCTGTTTACCCCTCTCCGCACCAAACAAAGGTTGCTAATTACAAGGGCCTGGCCCTGCCCTCTCTCCCCATTCAGGATAGGGGGCTTCCATGGGATCAGCCCATTCATGGCATGGGGGTGGGAGCAAACACTCCCGTCCATCAATCAACTTGACTGACAGGTCCACTAACCCTTCTTAGTTTCTCATCATCTTTTCCTTACACAGATAGATGTGTATAATCTAGTGTTCCATAGAGAGATGCAAGTGCAAAGTAATTGTCCTAATTATTATATTGTCTCATGGCTGTCTGAGTAAATATGAATACCGGTAGGTAAAACAACAATGACCCTAATGGCATTTTGTTAAGTACAATTTTACATATTACAAATTTTGGAAATACTTCATTGCTACGAATCATAAATAAAACCATATTCTTGTGTGATACTTCTTCTCTTACCGCTCTGATTATTCATTTTATTGGTTTATTCAAATGTAAAACATTAAAAACTTCAAAATATTTTTCTGTCACCCTAACTAGTCCATTAAAAGACCCTTGTCCTCAAGCCATGACCATAAACAAGAAATTTTTCAAAAATAGCTCGTCTTCACCTGGGTAAGTAATTTCATTGATTTTAGTAAATGATGCTCTGAAATGCTAAAGAGTGTTGTTTCTTGGCAAATTAGCTACAACTAGAGAAACAAAAACCAATATACAAACCTAATACAACATAATATTTTTGACTTGAAAAGTTTTCTCCTAATGCAATGATTTTTTTTCATTGCCAAACCAACTTAAGGGTGTATCTCACTGATTGGCGAATGCTTGCGAACGGAGCAAATTTGGGGTTTTGCCAGGGTTACTAAAAGGTTGCAAGAAAGTTTGTGAACAGTTTTCAATGTCGTAAACACTTTTTCTTGTCGCATAGAAATTATCAACATGTTCAAAAAAAATGAGAATTTGTTTTTACAGTTTTACAGTTGCAAGTGTTTGCAATACAGTTGTAAGCCTTTGCAAATGGTTGTAAGACGATGTAGCTGAATTTTTTTTTTAATTCGCCAATGCTAGTGACTTCGTTACCATATATATATGGTTCCTATGTAAAATCGACCCATTGAGTACCAGAAGTTGCCAAAAGGTCCCAAACATTCACAAATAGTGGCAAAGGATTGGCAAATAGTTACTAATCTTCACAAACACTTTCGCAAACATTCGCTCAAATGTTGATAATTGTCGCTAAACATAGGCAAACCCTGATTTTCACCAACATTCGTCAGAAAATTTGGCGAATCCAAATTTGCAACGTTCGTAAGCATTCGCCGCTCAGTGAGGAGCAGGAAGTAAATGAAAATTTCTTCTATTTCTTTATTTTTATTGCACAATATTGTAAGAAATATTATATTACCATAGAAGACATACATGACATTGAATGAAAATCAATTCTAAGTTTGATTGTAAAGTATGTAAACCACGATAAATTTTGAAAATCTTGAATGTTACTTAGGCATATATAGTACAGGAACTCATTTGAAGAATTAAGCTTCACAAAACTAAATGATTGAGTTTTCAATAATTCAGTACTTATATAAACCAATTCCAAGACAGACAAAGATATAAAAAGGAATATATTAACCTTGAAATGAAGTGGGAATTCTCATTAAAAAGACAATTGAAAATAATTAAAAATTTAGGTTCAAAGAAACTTACATAAATGCTACATTTACCACATTTCATTGGTTATAGAGAGGAGAGATGAAAGAATGAATGATCTTACTTGGGTGCCTGCAGCCACTGAGCAAAACAATTATTTTCTCATCGAAGAAAGAAACAATTCAATACACACTTACAGACATAAGTGCAAGTTAGGGAGCAGAGGGGTAATTACAGGAGCTAATTGAAAGGAATACTTCAAATCTGTCGGGTATATGACGAGAAAGGCAGGAGAACTTTTGAGAAATGCTACCGGAGGCTTAGTTACATCAGGAAGATAGTCTTTCAAATATAGTCATACATGTATATCAATCTCCTGTAGTGTCAGAGAAATCCTTGTTGTTCTCCACTTATCAACTTCATGGTAACCAAAAGCAGGAATAGTACAAACACTTTTGCAGATAATTAAAAAAAAATACAATTATAAAAGAATATTAAAGAAAATTGAAATACTGATAGAAAACACTTCAGTGTAGTTATAAACATCAAAGGTCAAAGTGACAATGGTGGATGTTACCTCACCTTTTTTCTTCTTCCGGTTTTGATTAGTCACTATTGTCTCTAATAAATATTTTATACTGGTTATTTTGAATCTTTCTATGACTTCAAAAAGTTTACTGGATGTATTTAACATATGCATATCCTTCTAAATCATCTAATAGATTGAGCTTTTGATGTACACCATGTGTCTAATGCTGTTGTCAAAACTTGATGAAATCATGAAATATATAATCTTAATATAAATAACAATACTCCATTGATTTCTACATTTTTACTGCGATCACTGACATGAAACAAGAATAATTGGCAATAGAAATATCAAATTTTGGTCCATACAATTATTTTCCCCCTCAAATATCCCAACAACGCAAGACTCGCAAATGTAAGCTCTGACATTATCTGCCAAACTATACCAACTCGGCAGTTCATCAGCATACATTCACAGCACAACCTCCAACTATGTAACCCTGGTACTCTGCCTAACTCTACTAAACTGCAATTTCCATACAATTACAAGGAAAGTCTCTAGTGCCTATCTCCCTTCCACTAGCCTTCTGAACTTCAATACCGGTACATTACCTGTATACATTGAAAACATCTCACATCAAATTTTTTTTAAAGATAAAAAGGGGAAAACTTAAGGGGCTAATGATCTTGATGAAATGGCAGTTGAAAGTGAAGATGTAAGAGGAGAAAGGACAGAAATTAAAGAAAAGAGAGACAAAAATGAGAGAGAGAGGGGAAAATAAAGGGAAGGGATTGAGGGGTAGAAAAATAATAAGAACAAGAAAGTGAGAGGGGCAAAAAAAGGATGAGATAAAGTGAGATGGTAGTGGCGAAGGGAATATACCGGTAAGTAGAACAAGTATATGAAAAAGGGAAATAGAAAGAAAAAGAGAAATGAGAAAAAGAGAAAGAAGAAATGAGAGAGAAATGCATAAAAAGAGGAGAAAGGGAAAAAGAAGGAATAGAGAAGAGAAAA